GAGCAGGGGACATAATGCCACAGCCCCCATCCCAGAGGGGGTTACCAGGACTGGGGCAAGCGCCACCCAGCCCACCAACTTGTATACAAAGTAGGTCAGCATTATGCAACATCTGCACACAAGCAGCTCCTCGGCGTTTCCCCAGGAGCAGCTCGCACGCAGCAGCAGGATGGATGCTGGGGTGCTGTGAGGCCAGGCACCAGGCTTTGCTATGCGTCGCTCCTTTTGGTATCTAAAGGGGGGGGGGGGGGGGGGGTATGAGAAAGAAGGGGACAGACTATTTAACATGATCTGTCAGGATAGGGCAAGAGGAGATGGTTTCAAGCTAAAAGAGGGGAGATTTAGACTGGATGTAAGGAAAAAAGGTTGTTATAATCAGGGTGGTGAGGCACTGGGGCAGGATGCCCAGAAAAGCAGTGGATCCCCACCCCTGGAGAAAAAAGTCAGGCTGGAGGGGCTCTGAGCATCCTGATTGAGTAGTAGGTGTCCCTATTCACTGCAGGGGAGTTAGACCGGATGGCCTTTAAAGGTCCCTTCTAACTCAAATGATTCTGTGATTTTAGGATTCTCTGCCTGCACAGCTGTGCATACAGTTTGCTGAGGCTTCTGAAGCCTGGGAGGGAGGAGGGACAGGCAAAGCTGCAGCATCTCTGTGTCCACAGTGCCCAAGACTCCCTCCCTCGCCCTTTACCTCAGCGCCTCAGGGTTTCCCCAGCTCCACCACCTTTGATCAGCACAGGGCCCCCGAGTCACAGGGGGGATGAGGTTTAATCAAGCAGTGCTGGCCCATGGCTGTGCAGAGAGCCACAGGTAGCTACAGACATCACCCAGCTGAACACAGCTCAGGCTCCACATCTGTCAGCTCCGCTGAGCTAAAGAGGGAGCAGAGTAGGGGAAAAAAGCCATGTGTGTTCATGCTGGGGTGATGCCAACACTGCTGTCAAATGGAGGCAAGCAGCCAGCAGGGAGGCGAGGAGAGCTCTGAGCTGACCATTGCCAATAACAACGGCATCTCACGGGCCCCTCAGCCTCCATAAGCGCTTGTGGGTCACACCATGAGCATGGAAGCCAACGTGGCACGTTTATCTGGGCTGTTTTAGGTATTGCCTGTGCTCACAGCAATGTCCCTGCATGGTTCCTGCACACAGAACACCCGCCCTTGAGAACACCTCAGCTGCTCGGGGCACAGCTCACTGCAGCACAGGATGCAGGGGGACAGAGGACACAGCAGCCCACGCACAGGGACCAGCTTTCCAGGGGGAGGTGGCTTCTGTCTTTGTTTTCATCTTCAACCCACCTCAGCGCTCCTTCCTGTGACGTGCAGAGCCCCTGGGGCTCTTGCACCCAGCCCGCAGCTGCACCTGGCCCAGCGGGGACGTGTATGTAAAGCACAGGCTCTTTCACACACCGCTGACTTCCTCTTGCCAAGGACACAGCGAGGAGGATGGCCACAGCTTCCGTAGCTGCCTGCAAAGTCAGACGTGCCATACAGCCCCTCGTGACACCGTTAGCCCAAAGGGGACCTCAGCACCACAGCACGTGGCAGCCCCTCCTGGAGCCCGTGGGCCAGGAGCTGCTTGTTTGAGGGGGCTCTGAGCGAGGCATGTCACCCCCCAAGCCTCCCGCATGCCACTGCTCCTGTGCTCCAGCTTGTCACATCCAAGCCAGCCCGAGGGGATCCATCCTGCCTCGCATCTCCGTGCCGTATTAATATTTAACGGTGAGGGAGAGAGAGCCAGAGACTTTGATTTCTCCCACCAGCCAGCTCAAGGACAACTCCGCAGCACAGGGAATTTCAGTGCTTCAGAAGGTGGGTTTGGGCTGGTTCACAACAGAACTCAACCACATTGCATTGCCCCAGGAGAAGGGTGAACTCAATACTCCATGAGAAAAGCAGGAGCTTGGTTTTAGCCCCCTTGCCACAGGAACGGACACCGAGCAGCACTCCTTTACATCAGAATGATGGCAAACATCAAACTCTGCTCATCAGGACAACGTCAGCCCAGATTTGCAGCCCCAAGGACACCAAAATGCCATGCCAATGTCAACTCACTCCCACTGCAGAGGAGGCAGCTCCTGTTTCATGTGCAGTGCCAGCAAGGCACAGCGAATTTTAACACACGTGCCCAGAGTCATGCAAGAGATCAGTTACAGAGACCAAGGGAACCCAGGGATTCTGGCTCCAGCTCTGGGCTGTGCCAGCTCTTGCTCTCTCTTGCATATAAATCCTTTTTCCCCACCAGTGAAGGACAGCTGGTCAGTGAGCAGAAAGTGGCAGCTGATCAACAGCCAGCAGCGACATGGCACATCAGTGCAGGGTGGGAGGCAGAGAAGGCTCGGTGAGCAGGGGGAGCTGCCAGGTGACTTGGGCCAGCAGAAGGAAGAGCAGCTTGGGTCTGACCTGATCAGAGCCCTACAGAACTTCTATAGTCAAGGAAGGTCAGAAACCCCACAGAAGGAAACACCTCCTCTGCTTTCATGCTCTTTCCAAGGCATGCAGCAGACCAGATACCTCTGCCACGGCTCTGCAACTCAGGGCAGCACAGCAGTCTTTCCCTGCCCCCCTATCCCAGCCAAGCCTCTGCCAACTGCAGATCTCATGAAGTAGAAACATTTGGGTTTAACCAAAGATCTCCAAAGAGATGGCATAATACAAGAGCTGGCCTTGAATCTAAATCTCTACCATCAGTTTCAAGATTCGGAGGGCAGGCAAATTGCATGTGCTGGGTTTATCTCTGCTGTTACAGGATAGAGATCATTTACTCCAGGCCCATAACAGTACAGCTTCTTTCCCCTGGTAGCACAGACTGAACATACCATGTGTCTTATTATGCCTAAAAATTGGTCTGATTTAACTAACGCGGTTGCAAACCCAGCAGAAAAAAAAGCTTCTCTTGGAAAACCTGGGCCTACAGAGAGCTATAATCCAAGCAGCTAATGCTAACTGTGCCCATTTGTGCTAAAATCTCTTACCTCTATGCGCAGCTCAGCCAGCCGGGTGAGGACACAAAATCTTCCTCCCGTGGGTCACACTGCAGCAGCAGACAAGTCCTCATTACAGCCTCACTCAGCGCTGCATGACCAAAGCTCACTTTAGTGCAACTGGTGTAAGCTCTTCTATGCTAATCAAACTGCTTTTACACTAATTTCGCTGGCACACAGCTGACAAAAATACATCCACAAAGTAAAGTAGCCAAAGCAGCAAAGCTCACAGGTACTTTTGCTAGAGAGAGGGAGATTTTTCATCGTAGACCTCCAAAGAAATAGGGAATTGAGGCACAGAAAGATAAAAAAAAAAAAAAAAAAAAAAATCCAGAATATTTCTATTAGTTTAGGTTTCAGCTAGGCTGACAAACTCTTTTGTGATGTTTGAAGATGACAACAGAACCTAAGTGAGTAGCCTTAGCTCAATTCCAGGCACTCCAAATCTCTGTTCCGAATCCAAGTACTACTTTCACAAGGCCATTATCAGATATTAGCATTGGCTACTCCATCTAGATGGGGGGGGTATCCTCAGCTGCCTTGTCTGCTCAGCATTGTTATGCCCTGCCTGAACTAATAGCTGACAGTTCCTAGAGGTATTTACACAGTTGTAGCTGTAGCTTTAGATGTGTCCCAACGACTTTCAGTTGTAAAACATGATGGACCTGAGACACAGTGTCATATTCTTAGATATGCTCCACTTCCCCTGCCAGCTCTATTAAAGACTTTTTCCCAAGAGTAAGAAAAATATTTGCCCCTAGGTGAAGTGAGATGTTGCTCTTAAGGAACTAGATTTTATTTTGTAGCAGCTAGGACTCAGCCACCTGTGGGCAGAACCAACAGTACCTCTCTGCTTAGGAAGTGGTAGAAGGAAATGCCCTATTTGATCCACTATGCTTGAAGGTGTTGGACAGCAATACATGGGGGTTGCTACAGGGGTGAACCAAAGAAATTTTCATTTTCACCAGTTAAAAAACTGATTTTACCCAAGCTCGGGAGTTTTCTGGGGGAGCTGGAGAGCAGTCAAGGAGATGAAAGTCCCCTGACCTTACAGCAGTTGCAAAGAACACACAAGAATCACTCTTTTCTCATTTGGTGCCACAAGCCTTCCTCTCCTCCCCTCCCCTTACTGCACCTGTACACTGAGAGCAAATTGAAACCAGTCTATTCTGAAACACGGCCTCATTTATTCAGAGGAACCCAAAGTCAGAGTGAAGCTCAGCCACCATAACCAACAGAGAAACTGGTGTTTCAGTCTCTGGTGGTAAAGTCCTCGCAGGCATTGGCAGGATCGCAAAGCTGAAAGTAGGGCAAGCCCATTAAGCTCCCCATCCTTCTTACATGGCCATGAGACTTCGCACATCTTTCTCCTCTGGGTTTTAGCCATAGTCCAGCCCTTTTGGACACCATAACACAGCTGAGCGGTTTAGCTCCTTTGTTCCAGCTGACAAACATCCTATCTCTCCCCTGCCAGCAACAATACAACTGGAGCTGGGATTTGTGTGTCCTCTGAGCAAGGATACAGGCTTTGCGTCTTGCTGAGCTGTCTTTGCAAGGACTGCCAACACTCACAGTTGATTAAGCCTGCAATGCTGCTCTCTCCTGCTCATAGACAGATGTCAGAAACAAGCTAAGCAAAACAGCACATGCAGCTACAGCTCTGCACCTAGGAACATTAAAGCAGACTATTAGGGATTAAGTTAAACTGCAGAAGAGCTTAACAGATCCTGTCAGAACTTAATTTCTACCTGGCATGCAATTCTGGATAAGAAACAGCCCAATACTTCAAGAAACAACCTATTCTGTAAGGTGGTTCAATTCAGCTTACAGAAGCATCATATTTTGAGAGGTTTTGCCACCACCATGTGGCCGAAGCAGTGACTGCAGCCTACCAAGTCACAACTCACAGGACGGTAGAAATGCCAGCAAGGACCAGTTCCACTGCCTGGTCTAATTGGGAAAAGCATTCATAGGTTTTAAAGCCCATCCTACAGACCTAAACAAAGAAATCATACCAATTAATATTATATATTTTATTAATTTAAAACTCCAAAACACACTACTGACTGGCAGTAAGAATAAGGCATGAATTACTGCTGATAGGAAGCTATTAGTTAAATAATTGCACACATCATATGCCCAACTTGCAAGAGTCACCGTGTGTTTTCAGTATGCTGCTACAGTCCTGTTGGCTTTCATCTCTGGTCAGCTGCAGGGTGCAGAGCCTCAGTCCTACAGATGCTGGAGGGAAGAATGCAGTCCTGCAGCTCTCTGAACCAAAACTGCCCAGTTTGCAGAGGCTTGCTGGAAGCCAGCAACTTCCATTATTCTCAGATTTGATTCTCTGGGAGCATAAGAGAGAAAAAAAAACAATTCTGTGTTTTTAATTTGGGAATAGGGGCTGATTTTCAGTAGTAACTGCCTATTTCTCCTACTGCGGCCTGTCTGTAAGGGCTGTATCCCAAATACTGCCACATCTCCTCATTTCTTAACTTGCAGAAAGTTTGACATCTTCAGATAAATCTCTCCTTGGTTTGCAGGAGCTGACTTGCAGCAGCACAGTTCACAGCTGTTCAAATCAAATTATTTTGTGCTTAAGAGATAAAGCCTTTTTCTCTAAAGATTTAAAAGAAAGCTAAAGTGCTAGATTATCTTCTTCAGTCCCTTCCTCCCCAGTTATGTGCCAGGCATGGAAATGCTGAGCCCTTCAGTGGGCAGATGCTCACACAGCTGGATCATTAACTGCCAATTGCAGCATATCTTGAAGCTGAAGGACTGCCTTTCTCCCTTGTTACTCTCTTGGTGAGGAAACAAAGTCTGCAGTGAGGTTCTGCATTAATCCAAGGTGCTACATTGCTATTGAGAGGAAGCAGAAGCCTGCTGCCTCACCTGCTGCCTACAGAAATTAAGACACTCAACCATGATAAGCCGCATCTGGGATTAGTTGCCTGTTTTACTGAGAGAATATCAGGAGAATATGTCATTCCTGGCCACTAGCAAAGTGGCTGAAATCCAAAACCCATCACACAGTGGCATTCAAATGTAACAACAGGTAGGGAACCCTAATTCAAACTATCCTCTCCTCACCTATACTTTATTCACTCAATAGGAATCATTCTTTTATTATTATTTTTTTTTAAGTAGACTAGCAACTACAAACAGCTCTGGATGAGTGGTTGTAACAAATCCGGCAAGAAAGCTTCCCAAAGCAATTCCAACTGCAGCAGCTCAAATGCCCTGAAGTAAAGAAAAATGATGAATCTGGATAAATTCTCACATCAAGAGGCTAATCACCAGCAGAGTTCCTCATCAGCAAGCTGAAGTACATGGCAGAAACTCCTGGTACACGACCAGCACAGATCTGTAGCATCCGGAGAAGTCGCTGAGCAGTGGCAACTCGTATCCCTTCCAGCTGGAAGCAGAACAGAGAAGTTACTTAATAGGAAAAAAAAAAAAAAAAAGCAGTGATTAACAGTGATAAAAGAAAGAACTGGAACCAGCTCTAAGTGTGATTCAGAGCTGCTAGTTACAGAAAACACCCATGAGATTCATTTACTCCCCGAATGCTAGAGGAAGGGCAGAGTTATGCCAGCTGAAAACCCTAAGAAAGTTTCAAGTGCTCAAACTCACTGATGCTGATTTGCTGAGAGAGGCAGCAGCAAACAGAAGGACAGCCAAAGGCACAAATATTATCTGCTGATAAGGAAGCAATCCCTGATGATGGAATGATTATTAAATGGAAAAGAGTGCAACTGCTGCATGCCACCTCCTGTCAGCTTTTCAGACCAAGTGGATAACTGGAAAGAGTGGCAACTCATACTACAAAACAGCAATGAAGCTACAAAGCCTGGCTAACAGGAGCACTGTGTGGGCAAGGACAAACAGCAAACATTTCCAGGGTTCCCAAAAAGAGAAAACGCTTTGAGGAACAAGTGTACCAAGGCTTTGCACATCAGAGAAGCTTTTCATAACTTAGGCTTGGTTTTCTGAGGCTTTGAAGTAGCACCAGAAGGTGCAGGAAATCTCTAAGACTCATTTCAAGGACAGTCAGACTCTTGTATTTATTCCTGCAGAAAGTCTGGTCTCTGACACCACTTACATGTGGCAATATCTTACGTATGTACATTTATTGCTAATGTAATGATGTTATTCAAGATCAGAGGGCAGCAGAATTCCCAAAATACCTTCCAACACCAAATAGGCACCTCACCTCCAGCTCACAGAATATCACAGGACTGCAGTAGTCTTCTCCCAGTTTCCAGATGGCATTCATCTCTACGCTGCAGTTGTTCACCCTGCCAACTACAGAAGTTTTCTGCATTACAAGCCCCATTATCAACATCCAGTGAAGAAAAGTACCAAGAAATTCTGCACGTACAAAACGACTCACAGCTAATTTTGACAGCATCATAGAAGGTAAAGCAACAGCAAGCAGAACAAACAGAATGGTACAAGATACACAGTGGAATTACCACAGAAGTCTTCCATAATACTGACAGCAGGAATAGTGTTGCCACATTACTGAGTACTGCAATGTTAACATTTGGGATAAGGGATCAGACAGTACTCTATCAGCAGGACAGAATCTTCCACTCGTTAATCAGAAGGCCTGACAGAGCATTCATGTCTCCAAGGGCCTCACTCCATCAGGAGAACCATAGCACAAGACTACACTAAGGCTCTTTCTCACCCCTAAATTAGGCCTTCTGAACCCTAAATTCTAGGGACACAGCACCTCTTTTACAACACCCCACAAGATGTGCTGGCCCTCTCAGTTCTTCAGATCTACAGAGAAGTGATGCAGGAAAGTACCCTCTTCACTCAGGGGAGGGAGAGATAGAGAGCGAGACAAAGAAAATTATATGAGACACAATGGGGCCAGACAGCACACAACAGGGATCACAGTCTTGTACTAAAAACCATACTTAATAGTTTAGTAGCTTATCCACTTAAATTCATTTTATTATCACAGTATCATATGCTCCTCACTGCTAATTGAGACTATCATTAAGACTGATCTGCTGGAACAGATACAACAGCATTCTGGAATGGCACAGAAAAATAATTTTAAATTAACATCACAGTTCCTATTCAGGAATGAGAGAAAGGAGATCTGAATGGCAAAAGCAAAAAGGAAAGGGCAAGTGAGAGAAGAGAATCATGTTTTACCCGAGGAAAAAAAAAAAAAATAAGCAAATGAGCTCAGATATATTCAAACAAAGCTTTGATAAATCTACTGGCTGCTTTTGTTCAGTTTCAAATGAAGCCACTCCTTTGCTTTAAGGAACGCAATAGTGAGCTGTTCTGCTCAGAGGGGAGGGATGGGGCAGATGCCATACATACCCCCTGTGACAAGGAAGCACACTTTTCCCAGGAAGAATCTGACATCCACATAAGCTAGTGAAGCTTGAACATTCTTCAAGCTGTCAGAAAAGCACAGACAATCCAGTTGGACAGGGAGGTAAAACCAGCACAGCATGAGGACAAAAGGAATAACTTTCAGAAGCACAGTTGGAAAACCCGTGATGTTAACATCTGCTGATTTGTGAGCCAGCAGAATTACGCTAAGAGCATGGCATCAGGACCTCTGGACTACCCACAGCTGTTTAATAACCCATAAAATAGCCTTTCAACTCAAGACTCAACAGTTAGGCTTAGTTTGAATGGTGTCCTAAAAGGTTTGCGAACGCTAAGCGTCCAAACTCATTAACATCCAATGAGACTTCAGCACTCCTTAGGCTCTTTCAGAAAAGCAAACCCACACATTTCTGCAGCACCATCTGTGCTGTAAGCATGCAGCTGGGCCTGTCATTTTGGTAAATGAGAGCCCAGGATCATCAAAAGTTAAGTAAAAAGATGCTGACTTTCGTGATCTAGCAAATCTTTGCTAATGGCCTGGGGACACAAATATGATTTCTACAAAGATGAGAGAAAAGACATCAGCCCCTGCAGACCTTTCCTTTCTGACTGGAGACTTATGTAGAGCTGATGCCACATGGTCAGCAGTGCCAGTGAAATAGGAAAACAGGCAGAGCAGCTGGCTGATTATTAGGTAGAGATGCTCTACCACAGCAAGTCTAGGGTTTAAAAATCCAGTGATTACAACATAATAAAAGTGTAGATTTATGCATGAATTCAAGAAAGAATATCAGTTTGCTCCCTTGTATTTATGCCTTTTCTTTTACCTGTATTTGCTCTTGATGTCAATAACAAATGCAATCAGATCTATCCTGGGCCGAAGGTGATCCCTCTCTGGAGGTAAGGGGAGGGATGATGCAAGGTGGCTGAAAGAAAATGAATTTGCCAGTTTAACAAATAGTTTGGCAAGGCAGCATCCACTTAATCATAATCACACAGCCACTGCAGCTCACCACATAGCACATAACCAGGAAGCCAGCTAACTGTGAAATAATTGGGCACCAAGGAGATATGGAGATTTTTTTTGGATTCTCATCTCTCTCTTAAGCCTATTCTGAGCTGCTGGCAGCCACATACTTACTAATCCCAGATGTTTAATAATGGGAGGCTTAACATAAAAAGGCTCCTAGAGAAAAAATTGTCCTTATAGATGTGTACAGCAGTCATAGCATTTAACTCTTAATAGACCTTTCCAATTAAGCGAGCTCTGATGCTCCACAAATATATTTTGTTACACTGCTTTCTCAAGTGAGAAATCAGATACGTATCACTTGTATAGCTTTATAGGGGAAGTGCAACTGGGGGAGAGCTCAGTGCTCCCATGATACCACTACTCTTCCTTTCACTGCCTCAGAAGTTACAAGGCTAGTTCAGGTGTTCTCTTACACCACAGTGCCACTGCTGATACAGCTGTGGGAGGAAACACAGGGCTTGTATCCCTTCCAAAGGCATCTGTAGTGTACAGAGTATCACAGAATGGACAAGGTTGGAAGGGATAGGGGAAGAATACTAACAGCACTACATTTTTTGGAAGATTATAAAAAAAGATAGACTGGAAGATTTCCATCTCTTTCTCAACACGCTTCATCTCTAGAAGCCAAAAAAGAAACTGCTTTTGTCCTCCTTGGGGAGAGCCACTTGTAGCAATTAGTCTTAGAGACTGCAGTATTTGTCCCAGTTTTCTTTTATCCACGCACAGTTTGTAGCTTTGTCTGCCAGTCTCTGAACGAAGGTGTTTTGTTTCCTATAAACAAGGAAGAAAACACTGAACAGAAGCATTCCAAAACAGCACAAGATACGAGCCAGGCATGACTAAAAGGCGTGCTGTAATACAAACATCACGACACGCTGATGGCGAGATCTGGGGAACAAGAAACGTCAGGAGCCTCCAGACACGTGCTAAGAGGTGTCAGTGCGAGGGGACACAAAACCCTACAACACCTGTAGGAAATGGGATGTGCAAGTGCCAATTACTTCCACCCCCGCTTCCAGTGACAACCAAACCTCTTTCCCAGAAAGCTGGCCGTACATCAGTGGGGCAGAACCACAAAAAGCGGACCAGCGCCACCCTTCCCCCCGCTCACTCACATGCTGATGTTGAAGTCCTTCTTCTCGCACAGCATGGCCTCGGCGAGCTGCTGCTGCGGGCCGCCCTCCGCGCCCACCAGCTGCGGGGCGACAGGCAGCGGTCACACGGGGTTAACTCATTTGCATACGGCAGCCCATTCCGACAAAGGGATGGACTCCCTCATTTGCATACGGCAGCCCGGCGGCCTATCCCGGAATCATATCTGCATACAACGGCTCAACGAAGGGGGAGGAGGGGCGAGGCCACCGCCGCCGTTGCGGCCGAGGATATGCCCGCCGGGGGGCTGAGCGCTGGGCCAGCTGGGCCGGGCCGAGCGGATCCCAGCCGCACCGCAAAAGAGCCAGAGGACTGGGGACTCCCGGGGCACCGCAGGCTTACCAGTATGGTGGCGCTATTGAGCTCCGGCAGCTTATCGAAGGGCCGCAGCACGGCCATCCCCACCGCCGGCTGCGCGGCGATTTGAAAATGGCCGCCTTGCGTGACGTCACGCTGGGGGCGGGGCGGGGCAGGCGTGCGCTCGGCGGGGAGCGCACCGTTGACGTCAGTGGCGATGGCGCTGCTGGGGCTGCGGGCGTAGGGTGGGGCGAAGCCCGGGCTGCGTGGTGGCCGGCTTTGGAAAGTGTGGTTCCTCGTCCCCGGAGCTGTCCTTGCCCTGGGCTCCGTCCTGCTCTTTCTTGGCCGTCCCCGTGCCTCGCTCGGTGCTTCACACGCACTGCGTGCAAAACCGCGGCGGCCATGGAACTGTCATCGCACGGAGGAGCTCAACAGTGAGGACGGGGCGTGCGGAAGCCTCGATGCCGGCTCCCCTCCCTGCGTTGCTCGTCGCCCCGCGCCCCGCTCTGCGGAGCTCCCCGTGCGCAGAGACCGACACGGATACGCGGTCGCGTTTTCTCCTCCGAAGAGCCCTGCAAGGGGCTGCGACGGAGGCTGGCATCACTCCTGCTTTGATCCTGACAAAGGCAGACGGCTCAGCTCGTCGCCAGCGCCGTGGCAGGTGAAGCAGAAGTGATGGCGGATATTTCTGGCTGCCGCAGCGGTCGGCAGGGAGAAGGGAGGCTGCGGTCAGGGCAGAGCTCTGCTTTCGGCCAGAACAGTGTTCACAGCACGGTGACGGTTTGGTTGTTGCCGAGTGATGGAGGCATTTGCCAGGCTGGGAAGAGCCACTGCCTTTGTGGCATTGTAAAGCCACGGGGAGCTGGCCAGGAGAAGGCCTCCTCGGGGATTGCTGGGTGTCAGCTGGTGGGTGGTGAGACCTCACTATGCTGGCAGTCAGAGGACAGTTGTGTTGCTGCTGGTCAGCAGTCTGCAAGTGGTTGCATTGTGACTACATACATATACATATATATATATATGTAGTTATCATTGCCTATCTGTTTCTATGTTCCTCTTCTGTGTTAATAAATAGTTTTTATCTCAACCTGCGAGTTCTATTCTGCTTCCAGTTCTCTCCCTCATGGAGAAATGGGCCCATGAAAACTGAACGAGGTTCAATAAGGGCAAGTGCAGGGTGCTGTGCTTGGGTCAGGGCAATCCCAGGTATTTATACAAACTGGGGGAAGATCTCCTCGAGAGCAGTCCTGCAGAGAAGGACCTGGATGTCCTGGTAGATGAGAAGCTGGACATGAGCCAGCAGTGTGCGCTTGCAGCCCAGAAGGCCAACTGTGTTCTGGGCTGCATTAAAAAAGGGGTGGCCAGGAGGAACAGGGAGGTGGTTGTCCCCCTCTACTCAGCTCTTGTGAGGCCCCATCTGCAGTACTGCGTCCAGGCCTGGGGCCCCCACTACAGGAAGGACATGGAGCTCCTGGAGCGGGTCCAGAGGAGGGCACTAAGATGATCAGAGGGCTGGAGCACCTCTCCTATGAGGAAAAGTTGAGGGAACTGGACTTGTTTAGCTTGGAAAAGAGAAGGCTTCAGGGATACCTCATTGTGACCTTCTAGTACTTGAAGGGAGCTTATAAACAGGAGGGGGAATGGCTGTTTATGAGGGTGGATTGTGACAGGACAAGGGGGAATGGTTTTAAACTGAAACAGGGAGGTTTAGGTTAGATATTAAGGGGAAGTTTTTCATGCAGAGGGTGGTGATGCACTGGAACAAGTTGCCCAAGGAGGTTGTGGATGCCCCATCCTTGGAGGCATTCAAGGCCAGGCTGGATGTGGCTCTGGGCAGCCTGTTCTGATGGTTGGAGACCCCTGCACATAGCAGGGGGTTGAAACTAGATGATCGCTGTGGTCCTTTTCAACCCAGGCCATTCTATGATTCTATCCCACCTGGGAGACTGTACAGCCGCATGGTGCTGAGCTGCTGCCAGGTTATGGCACAACTGCACGGTACCTGTGGGCACCCAGGCAGCTCCCAGCAGCCCCACGCTGCCAGCAGAGCTTTGTGGGACATGAGTACACTCATCAGGGTGCCCTTGCTCTCTCCCAGCAGGTGCAAGTGATGTAATTTGCTGCAAGTGCATGTTATTAGGGAAACTAATGACATTTGCACATATGTTGCTGGCAATTTCTACTTCCTTTGGCAAAGGCTCCCCCCGGGCTGTCTTTAGACTCAGTATAAGTCAGCTTTTTCTGTTACGCTCTTTATTTTAAAGTGTACATTTCTGTGTCTTTTTGAACAACTCAGCAAAGCTTCCCAATGGGTTTCTTGACCTAAAGCCCCAGTGGCAGCCAGAGCTGGGGATTCTGTGCCTCTTGCTGGGGTTTTGTTCTCCACTGAGGAACCAGGGGGGGTGGAGGGTTTCCATTGGGATGTAACAACAGGGAATATTTACCTGAGGTTTCCTGACCATTTCCTTTTTCTCCGTTCAGGGTTTTTGCCAGGTCTGATATCAAATCTCTTGTGGATAAGGATGTGACTGCACAAGGACATGGAGGAAGCCAGGGCTGGGAGCAGGCTGCCCAAGGAGGTGGTGGGATCACCATCAGTGGAGTTGCTCAAGAACCATGTGGATGCGGCACTGAGGGATATGGTTAGAGGGCGTGATGGGGGTGGGCTGACAATAGGACTGATGATGATATTAGAGATTTTTTCCAGCCTTGAAGATTCAGTTGTTCTATAACCTGATCAGTTCTCCCAGAGCACGTAGTTCCAGGCAGCATAGCCACTCCTGTGCTGCTGGGCTGCTCCAGCAGGCCCACACACAGGGATTCCTGCCTGGAGCCACTCTTGTGGGCGCAGAGCGGGACAGTCTGTGTGTAGGTATGCCTGGGACATGCCAAGTGGCTTGTAGCAGCTGTACTCATAGTGAGAGCTGAGCTGCAGCTGCAGTGTTTCCACGTGGCTGAGCTGCACGTGGCACGTCAGTGCTTGCTTGTGGAGAAACCTCTGATGTGACAGCACCCGAGAAACAATCACAAGCAGCGAGCTGTTGCCACGGCACCTGAGGCATGACTCCACTGGCTGCACGGGGCTGCAGCGGGCAGAGGGATGGGAAGGAAGCCATGCGCAGCCTTGCCTGATAGCAGTGCAGGACAGTGTGAGACGGTGAGTGGCAGTGTGTCACCTGTCATCGGTGCCAACAGGAACACGTGGGCCGCGGGTTTCTTGAGGAGAGGGCTCACACCCCTTTGCACCTGAAATGCAATCTTCTGCAAAGTCAAACCTCACCCCTCCTGGGATATATGGATCTGGGTGTATACGGGCTCTGCTTCAGGGCTCAGATGGTGCTGCGGCGCTTATTAGTCCTCCAAACCCCACTGCAGAGGGCAGCAGGGCTGGAAAAAAAAAAAAAATGAGGAAGAGAAAGCAAGAAGCTGGGTCCTTCCCATCTGCATCAAAGCTACTGCCAGACTGGGAATGGATTCGTGCAGTCTCAGAACCGCTTCTGCCGTTATCCCAGTACCGGCTGCAGCGGGGCTGCTCCCAGCTCGGTGATGGATGCAATTGTCCCTCCTCCGGGTTTGGGGGGGGGTGGGAGAGAGGGAAGAGGGGGGCTCTGGGTGAGCCCCGAGCTCCCCGCGGGAGGAGGCTGCTGCTGTCCCCGCCTCTCGCTGCCGCCCCGCGCTCCGCTTCGCACCGGCCCCGGCAGAGGCAGTGCGGAGAGCGGCCCCGTTCATCCCGGGGGGAGCGGCTCCATCCCGCCGCCCGTGGCCGAGGGAGGAGGTAAGGGGGCGGGGGATGGGGGCGATGCATGGGAACGGGGTGCCCACCACTGGGCTGGGGGGGGAAGGAGTGCAAAGGGGTGAGCCCACTGCTGCCCATTTGTGCCCCCATCGCCTGCGTGCAGGAAGGCACATCTCTGCTGCGTGGGATTCGCTTCGGCACCGCTGCGTGTCCCATCTCTTGCAGATCCCTTTCCATGCCACTGCTTGCAGATAAGCCCCCCAGGGCTATGGCAGCTGTGGCGCTCTGTCTTTCAGAGGCTGCGGGCGCCCCACAGGGATGCTAAGATGCACCGTCTTACCATGGTTAAAGCACATTTAAAATCTGCAGAGCTGCTCCAGAAAGGTGACGTCTTCTCAAATGAAAGTCCCTCTTTTCAGCACTTGAAAGCAGATGATTGTGGAAGAAAACTGGGATAAACACTCAGAGATGGCAGCAAAATGGGGGGCAAAGCAAAGCACTCTGAAAGCAAAAGAATATGGTATGAGGAACCAAAACTGCTAAGCTCTCCTCTCCCATCATAGCAGAGCAGATACAAATCCAGAATCTATGCCAATAGGTGGGAGGGAATAGGTTTTTTTTTTTCCCTCTGATGCTGGCAATTTCTTGCTTATATTAGCAAGAATCACAGCACATTTCAGATCTAACCCTGTGCCACAAAAATGTTCATCAGAGGGCAGAAATAGAAGTCACATTCATGTGCTTCCTGCTGGGAGTCTGGGAGCAGGGATGGGGACTTTTGCTGCCAATCAATTGAAAGCTGTGGTATTAAAAAAAAAAAAAAAAAAAAAGCCCACAGACATAAGGTCCCAAGGGAACCAAAATGAGGCCCAGGCACATGATGGAATCAGAGAATCATAGAACCATACAAAAGTTTGGGTTGGAAGGGACCTCGAAGCCCATCTTGTTCCAAGCCCCTTCATTCACAGCTTTTCCGGGCAGTCTGTTGCAGCATCACATGGAGCATGAAGTGGGAGGCAGGAGGTGTGGTGGAGCTGCTTTCTGGGTGCTCCACAAGCTGTCTTCCCTTTTCTCCAGCAGCCATGCCGCACTTCTTGGACTGGTTTGTGCCTGTGTACCTGATGATCTCCATCCTCATCCTGGTGGGCTTTGGAGCCTGTATTTACTACTTTGAGCCTGGCCTCCAGGAAGCCCACAAGTGGCGAACGCAGAGGCCGATCATGGAACGAGACCTTCGGAAGACGCTGATGATTCGGGACAACCTGGCCTTTGGGGTGCCTGAGGTCTGATGTGCCCACCAGGTGGATGGAAGGCCAGAGGTGGTGGGAGAGGACTCATGCTCTGCTGATTTGGGTCTTCTGCTTGCCACTCACCCTCTGGCCCTATGCTCCTCAGGTTTGTACAGCATGGCAGGCTCAGAGCTTTCCATGAGCTTGTAGGCCATCTTCCAGCCAAGAGTTTTTGCTCCTCCCCAGGGATGATGTCACTTCTTGGAGCCATTCACACAAAGGGTGCCATGTTTGTCACCGGAGCTGGAGCTGCCTGGCTTCTTGGCACCACCCCAGGAGGTCTCTGCAGGGGTAACAGGATAGGTGAAGCTCTGCCAAATAAGGGTTCAGCAAGATCCTGAGACCAACTCTACTGAAGATGCTCTGCTTTTCTGTTGGGGTTTTGGAGATGGAGAACTTCAGAGCCTGGTGCTCACAGACTGATGTTTTCAGGAGCTCTGCCTTTGCGTTGAACATTGTTTCTGAAGAGGTTCATCCAAGTCCCGTGTCATGCAGTGCTGCTCTGCAGCTCTCCAGATCTGTCATGTAGACCTCTCCCAGTTGCCAACCCTTCTGCTCTCTGCCACTGCATGAGACAGGACACATCTCTGTGAGCTGCCTTCTTCAATGCAGATAGTCCCCAGCTCAGTGCCGCTGTCGCTTGGCTGTCACTTTCAGCACAAGCTCAGCCATCCCTTTACTCACATGTCTCTGAGAAGGGACAACACACTTCCCCTCTGTCTGGTTCCTTGAATCAAGACAGATCTCAAGCATTGGGCTGGAGTGAGTGAACAATATAAGCTTTGTAATTCTCTGGGGGGTATGAGGCAATTTTTAGCTCTGAGGGTTTTGATTCAAGAAGGAATGGGTCAGGGCACCCTGTAAATATTGAGGTCTTTCAGGCATGTCTCATCCTTCCAGACTGGAGTAGAACCACCATTACCTTCCCCACCAACACTGGGTACCCCGGCAGGAGCTGTCAGTCTCCACTCCAAGCCAGAGAAGCTGAGACCCATTCGATTCAGACAAGCACTGGGGGTCTTGATGTGAGTCCCCTGGCTGGGTAGCCTCTCTCAGCAGGGAAATGGAGCCAGCGGGTTTACTCATGTGCCAAAATTTGTGCTCGCTGTGCTGAGCAAAGGCTCAAAACACAGGTGCAGCCTCACACAGGTGCATTCCATGTTTGTTGTGCCTTGGTTGCTTGGGGCTGGGAAAAGAACTGCACTGCATGGTACCAAGTGCCATCCTCAGTTTCATCAACCACATTCCTGCCCCAGCCTGCTGCCCTGCTCCATGCCATGATCTCTCCACAGCTCACTAAGTACTATTGTCAATAGACTCCACAGCAGAATAAAGGTGTGTGCAAACTGTGTGCTCACTGTGTTGTTTCTCTGCTGTTCCCCCAGGAGCTGCCTCTAGCCAGGAGAACTCAGTTTGGCTCCTTGAGAGCCCAGCAGCTCTGCATTGGCAGGGTTTCTGCTCTGGGCATGCAGGATGGGTGTCTGGGAACAATTAAGCCAGAGGCAAATGCTGGCTGAAAGCTGAGACTGTCTGCTCGGTGAGAGCTGTGCAGAGAATTTGAGGCAGAGGGGAAGTCTCAGATACTGAATTAAGCTGCATAAAGCATTGGAGAAGATACTTAGTGCTGGAAAACACTGGGCAGCATTAAATTGCTCTTCTCAAACATTTCATTCCCTGTTGCTGCTGCGCAATGTATAGAAATCATAGAATCATTAAGGTTGGAAAAGATTTCTAAGATTATTAAGTGTCCATCCCCAAAACATATCCAGCCTGAACCTCTCCTGGCACAACTTGAGACCATCACCTCTCATTCTGTCACTGCTACCTGGAAGCAGAGGCCAACCCCCACCTCACCACAGCATCCTTTCAGGCTGTTGTAGGGAGGCTTTCAGGTAGTTGCAGTGAGTGCACTGCCCAAGCCCCTTTCCACGGGGTGACGGTGCCTCTCAGCCTCAGCCCCATCCCTCATTTCCTGCTACAGGGATACCACCAAACCCATCCATGTCTTTGGCCAAGGCCATGTGAAGGCGGTGGAGCGTTTGCACACCATTTGCTTCCTTGCTGGGAGCAGACATTGTTAAAAAGGAATTTGCCATTTGAAAATTAAAAAAAAAAGAGATGCAAAGGGAAAACATTTCAAAAATTCAAAGTGTTTTGCTATCTTTGGTAAACTGTGCTCACTGTGCTTGAGAGCCAACCTGCCACCAGTGGCCCACAAGCGCAGAGGCACTGCCAAGGAGGACACGGGGTTGTGTGTGGGTCTGCCCCACAGCACGGCCTGACTGCAGTGTGTCTGGGAATGGCGGGGGTGGGAGCAGCCGGACAGCGTGTGTGGGGGCACCTTGGGCAGGCCACAAGCGGCCCATTGTGGCGACTGGAGGCGGGCGATCAGACCGCCCGGGACGGCGGCGGAGAGGGCTCAGCTGCCCTCAGCCCTGTGGCGGGTTGGGGTTGGGACCCCAGCTGCCTCACCCTGCTGGGCCCAGCTGAGCTACGCCTTCGCGCCTCCACCTACAGCCCAACATGGATGAGGACGCCGCCTCGGCCCTCTGCCCTCCTGCCTCCAGGCTGGCTGGCCCCAGCCGCATCCCAGGCCCCATGCTGCGGCGGGCCGGCTCTCCCGGTGCTCCCACCCAGCGGAGCTGCCTCTGGGTCACTCTGCGGCAGGGGGCTGGGGGGGCTCCCTGGCATCGGCCACGAGCACCAGCCCCCATCACCCCCGTGGCCCCGTGCCCACGGCTCATGTCAGGACATGGAGGGGCTGAGGTCACACCGGTGGAGAAGATGTCGGGCAGTGGGGACCCACGCACTGGTAGGTGTGCGCCGTGAGGTGGGCTGGGGGGCATCAGGGATGCTGTGTGGGGCAATGTGAGGGCTTTGGGGGTTTCCCCCTCATCCTGACAGAGCTGAGGGGCAGTGAAGAGCCAGGTGTGGGGGGTGTCTGGAGGGGAACCTTGTTTGTCTATCTGTGCGTCTGTCCCAAGTCAGCTGTACTGGGCATGCTTGTGGGGAATGCCACTGACCCTCAGAGCTGGGTGCTGGCATCACCCTGCCAAAATGTTGGTGCCCAGGCACAGCTTGGAGTGGCCACAGTGCATGGTGGGGACCTTGGAGGAGGAAAAACAGAGGGAAAGGGCATCTTGCTCCCAGACCCACACAGCTCCCAGACCCACACAGCTCCCAGACACAACCAGCAGCACCTTGTGCATGTGTGTGCATGCATGTACACACACACAGGCACATGCACAGGGGACGGCTGTGTCTCTGCACTGGGGGCAGGCAGCCAGCAATTGCAGTGCCAAGGGAGGAGAGGTTTCTCACGCCTCTGCAAGCAGAGCTGAAGGGCAAATGGGTCTTAATGAGCTGTTCACAATTCCCGATTTTCCCTCTCTGAGAGGCCCTGCCATCCCCTAAAATAAAGAAATATCCAGGCGGGGAGCATGGTTTCTCAGCCACAAAGGGTTAAATACTCCCTCTGCAAACAGGCAGCTAAACTCAGGGATGCTCAGGAGGGAGAAGGTGATGTGGGGGGTGCCAGGGGTGGGTGGCTGCGCGAAGGCCCCCTCATGGTGCATGGAGCCCATCTGTGGTGCTCCTTCATCCTCACCGCCGTGCCCACCCTGTGGGGAGCAGGAATGGAGCTCGGGAGGGAGCGCGGGCGGGGGGGGGGGGGGGATTTTGCAGCGATGTTTAATATTCAGGTCACATGACAGTGGCAGCAGGAGCAGCACCAGCATCTCCGCTTAGCTGAAATAGCCACTGGAGGAGGAAGGAAGGAGAGGGGGTAGAAGAGGACAGGAAAGAAAGAGAGAGGTAAAAGCAGAGTGTTGTAGCCCACTGTGCTGCGCCGGCGTCAAGCTTAGGACAGTGGGGGCAGAGCCACCCCCTGGGGAGAGTGTTCGCAGACAAAGGAAGCTTCATGTTCAAAGGTAGGATGCTGCGGGCTGGCGGGGCTGGGCGATACTGGAGAGACACTCAGGCTTCTTGTGCCCCCGCGCTGCTGGGGATCAGTATCTCCAGAGGGCAGTGGGGGGAATCATCTTCATATTTTTCCTTCTCATCTTTCAATGGTAGCACCGAAGGAGCAGGAGTGGGCTTGGCGGTTGTGGTGCTGATGCAGAGTAGCTGTCGCCAGGGGCTGCTCTGAAAGACAGAGATAATCCCAGCTGGTCCAGGGCTGGGAAAACCCATGAGCTGCTCTGTCTCTGCCTTGTCCCTTGTCGTTGCTGGGGTGGTGGGGTGTTCTGTGCTGCTCCCCGGGCACCTGTGTGGGAGCTGGTGGGTGGGCTGGGGATAGGCGTCTCTGGTGGGATGGATGCCCCGGTCCTGGGCTGCTCAGCTTTCCCTTACCTTAGGGTACAGCTGAGGATATGCCAGCTTGTGCCAGCTCCTGCATCTCTGAAGAGGCTTCGGCACATGCTGCCCTAGATTTGGCTGCAGCCAAAGCCCTCTGCAGAGCAGTGAGGGCACATGGAGGAAGGCTGCTGCCAGCAAGGCTGCGTCAGCCCAAAACGCTGGGATAAGTTCCCCTGCCCAGCTTGAAATACCCTGTGATGCTCAGTCTGGGGAGCAGGGACACAGGTCTGGAGCCATACGGGTGGCAAAGGAGTGTGACACATCAGGGTCAGTGCCTCCAGTCAGGGCAGGAGAGCTGCAGCGAGGCCGTGGATGCGTGGGAGTGAAGCAGCTTTCCCGAGCTGAAAGCTAGGTTGTGGTGGTGGCCGCCTCCTTGCAGCCCCCCCCTCCCTCATGCCACTCAGACAAAGGACGGGAAGGCAGGGGGAGGGGATAAGGCTGTATGTAGGTTATCGGGGCTGCTCTGCCACAGCGCGTTGTGGATGGAGGTCCCAGTGTCTGAGCCCACAGCTGGTCTGCAGGGCCATTTTTGTCGTGGATGTTGTGCAGTAGTGGTGCCTCTTGCTGGCTGTGGCCTTCAGAGAGAGGTTTTGGGGTGGGTTGGCAGAGCTGACTGGAGCCTCCCTGGACACCCACAGCTGCTCTTCTCCCTGCAAGCCCTGACTCCAGGTGCGCAGCTCTGCCTGCAGCCAGGGAGCCCATCACCACAGCCACCCTCTTAAATCAGCTCTGCTTAGCACACAGAACAAAGCAGCAAGGAAATGGGTGGTAATGCAAACAGCGGATGTGAGTGGTTAACCTTGGCTAACCCTCTTTTCATCACAGCTGCACTGACCATAGCTCTCTGTCAATGGATACATTGGAGGGAATGGTCAGCAGGACTATGGGATGTGCCTGGGATGCATAATGCTACCCTTGACCATTCAGTCAGAGCTGTAATGAGGCTTAGCAACAGCATTAGCATTACGGCCCCTAAAGCAGAGCTGTCCCCTAGGGACAAGGCAGGCATGTTTTGTGGCTCGAGGTGCCCCACAGCTCTGGCACCAGTCCCTCATGCCCTGACCTCCTGCTGGCTGGCCTTCAGTTGTCTCCTTGGATTCCTCCGTAGGAGCCAAGAGATGGAAAATCATTGCACAAAGCCCTCAGGTATCCCATTGTAAAATGTGGGTTCCCATTTAGAGACTGTGTGGGAAGCACCCTACATGGAGGGAAAGGCAAGTGACTGAGACAAAAGGGGTATTCTCTACCTTGAGGCCTTCTGACCCTGAAATCAGAACTCCTAGACCCACATCACTGATAAACAGTCCAGGAATTATTTAAGAAGGCTTCTGGAGCTTTTTTTTCCTGATCCCAGGGCTTTTTATAGGTGCTGTTGGAACCTGACTCGGAAATATGTGCTCCAGCCACTTGAGCAGTGAAGGCTACCTAGGGATGGCAGGGTATTGCATTGTCCACAGCAGTCAGCAACAGCTGTGGGCAAAGCGTCCTTCAGTGCAGTGAGATTGAGGTATGGGTTATCAGCCTTATAGTGAGCCCTGATGGTGGCTGCCAGCTCCTTCCTTCCATCTCAACCCTCTCTGCCTTCTCCCAAACTCTGGGATAGGTGGGACCCCAATGCAGGCTGCTCTGGCAGACTTTGGCAACTTGTGGCCAGGAACAACAAGCAATGGCTCTTTTTCCCTTCTGCCTTTAGTCCCCTCCATAGTTATTCCAGCATTGAAAAGATACTGAGCAAAGCTGTGTGTGGGCACTGCAAGATTTGGGGCATGGCCCAGTCATGTGAAGATAGTACAGATGGCACAGGACAGGCAGGAGAGGACAAGTGAAGGGTAGGGTAGCGAAGAGCTGGCTGACTCGTCTCTCCATGCAGCAGGGTTTTCTGGCTGGCAGCAGCTTTGAGAAAGCTGGAAAAAGACACGGGGAGCCTGAGGGGAGGCTCTGTCAGCAGGAGAGTACAGGTGAGCTGTGATGGCTGGAGGAGAGGGTTGTGAGAAG